CCAGAGAGAAGATGCCGAGACTGCCGTCGGAGGACCAGACCTGGGATGCTCTGGCAGACATGAGGAAGACCGCCTGCCAGAAGAAACTCGGCGCCATTTACAATGCCTGTCCGGTAACCATTGTCGAGGACAACCTCATCACCCACATGTGTAAAGCAAAACACGAGACCTTTTTTTTTCTGCGGTTGAAAAGATGAGACTTTATACATAAATCATACAATGACAAGACAACTGAAATTAAACAAAAAGTCAACAAATACAACACTTGAAGTAAATGAAGACAAAAGTTGGTGCTAACTCCTATGCCACAAGGGCAGAGCTGTGACTCGTGAGGGTTATATTCTAGAGCCTATAACTCTGCTATCGCCAACAACTCTAATGTGATATTGAACTAGTCGTACAATGCTATACTCTATTTGTCTCAAAATAAGTGTCTCAATTTTGCACTCCCTTCATTTCTTTTTAGTCTGCATATAAGATTTGGTCAAAGTCTAACTTTATAAAGTTTGACCAACTTTGTAGAAGAAAATATCAATATCTACAATACTAAACATATATAGTATGAAAATTAATTTCATGATGCATCTAACATTATTGGTTTCATATTGTGAATCTTTATATATTTTTTATACACTTAGTCAAAGTTAACAAAGTTTGACTTTGACCAAATCTTATATGCAGACTAAAAAGAAACGGAGAGAGTACTACATCCGTCTTGCTTTATTAGTCCCCTTTGTATTATGTGCCAAATTATGGCCTTAAATTTAACTAACAAAATTTTAATGCATGTCATAAAAAGTAATATAGTTGGAAACTATGTTCAAATACGAATACAAACGATATAATTTTTGGTGACATGTATTAATATTTTGTTAGTTAAATTTATAGTCAAAATTTAGAACAAAATACAATGGGGACTTATAAATACGAAGGTAATACTAAGTTTAGTATAAAGTTGTACTAAGGTTGAGACACTTAGTTAGGGACGGAGAGAGTACGTCTATAACATAGTCACGGGTCGAAATTTGATGAACTGCTGAGTAAAAATATTTGATTAGTTTTACATCGCGTCATAATCACTGGTTCAACTATTTGCAGCCGGTGACTACATATTTACTTAACAAACACTCGCAAAAGCCATTACCAAAAAGCCTTTCTAAAGAAGTACCATATTGCTCTCGCCATCTCCAACAACTACGTACTGTAATACATAATTTGTCATACGGCAGGCTGTTGTTCTGGATCCAATTTGGGTGAACTGTTGATAACAAATAATTCACTTGTCCTACTTGAGCAACCAGCATTGCTCCTATTCCTATATGTACCCTTAGCATACTCCTAAACTAGCTAAGAAAACCACCAACCACCAGAAGCAACATCAGCAGCAGTAGCGGCGCAGCTCAGTTAGCTACATATAATGGGCTCGGAAATGGTCGCCGGCCCAGCTGCCGGCGACGAGGAGGCGTGCATGTACGCGATGCAACTTGCCGCTGCATCTATCCTACCGATGACGCTCAAGGGCGCCATCGAGCTGGGTATGCTCGAGGTCCTGGTGAGCGCAGGCGGGGAGATGTTGTCGCCTTCGGAGGTGATTGCGCGGCTGCCATCCAAGGCGGTCAATCCGGACGCGCCGGCCATGGTGGACCGCATACTGCGGCTGCTGGCTTCGTACAACGTAGTGTTGTGTGAGGTCGACGAAGGTGAGGACGGCCTCTTCGCCCGCCGGTACGGCCGCGAACCAGTGTGCTAGTGGCTCACCCCCAACGAGGACGGTGTCTCCATTGCCGCGCTAGTCCTGATGATCCAGGACAAGGTCAATATGGAGGGCTGGTGAGTTTGATCGTTATTTTCTCAAGACTATTGTGCTTTTGGACTGTTTTTCTCTTCCACTCTTCCTCACCTTTCGGTGTCTATCTTTCTACTAATTATGGAATATTTTACTAACTGTTAAACTCAACAGTCAAGTCTCATACTTTACTTCAGTTGATGTCAATATATGGTGTTTCTATTCGATACAATGTTGTTCTCTCAAAAAAACTCATATTAATTAGCTTTGACAAAAGATTATCTTACCCCCCCTCTCTCCACCCTACACCCTATATGAACAGTAAACTCAGAAAAAATAGGAACAAATTCGAAAAAAATCTGGAACTCTGCGTCATCAAATATGGCCAACTTTGTATGTTCTTGCAAGTTTTTAAAACGAAATATCATGTAGAGCTCCTCGAATATCATGAATTTCAGATTTCAGTGCTAAAGGTGCTCAAAACATCAAGCATTGAAATCTTTTTCTTGTGTATATCTCCTCGAATATTTTTTTGGCTTGAAAACTTGCAAGCACCTACAAAGTTTGATCATATTTGATATTGCAAAGTTTCATTTTTTTTCTAATTTACTGTTTGTAGAGGATGTAGGGGCACTCGAGATCTGAAAAACCACTGTCCTTTTCTAATTATCTGTCCATTATTTTGCATTGTCTTATGTTTTCTTGGCACAAAGAGAATGTTTTACTGTGCACTTGAATTTGTTTTCTAAAATTATTATGTACTTTACATGATTTGTTCCTTACTTTTTTTTGTAAAACATCTTCTTAATTAATCCCAACGTTGTATCTTCTCTTTATGAATATGCACGCATGTGCGGATTCGCTTGCCTATTTTACGTTCACGCATTTTGATATATAACAGTTAATGACCAGTAAGTGAGCAATCCTCGCTTATTTGCATAGAGGAGTGTATTTATACTCAAACAGCATTGTTTTATATAATATCTCTTGTGAAATTTTGCTACGTACTTTGTTCATGAAGTCCATGAAAATCAAATTGCTAGTTTTTTGTGTTCAATTTCCTTTTTTCCTTTGAAATATCATGTGAATATAGAGTTTGTATATTTATCTACCTAATAGGAGTTAGATCCCATCAACCTTGAAACTCCAAGATTCCAGTCATTAGAAAGTTATATCTAGTTTTGCGCGTGTGGTGGTGTTTGTAATATATGCGTCTATGTTAACTCGTTGTTTCCAGAAAATAGTTTTACCTACTATGAATTTAGAAATAGACCTGTATTCTTTAGCTATAAAATAATATTTCATTGTATCACGTGCCATATTTGCCTATTTGCTACGGTAAAATTAATGGAATGCTAATTTGAAATGTCTGCTGGTGCATGCAAATATATTCAGCTTGTGTACTCGGCTGCTCTCCTAGCTTTTCTTTTCTTTTCTTTCTTTTGACAACCGTACTGCTCAGTTATGTTGCCTTCTATCTAGCTATAGGAACCTGGTTGCTCCGAATTTCTAAAACAAATTGAATCCTAGTCGTTTATAATATAGGCTTGTAATATTTTTAACGAATCAGATTATTTACTCTATGTATAAGTGGTGACTTATTCACATCTTGTTTAAATAATATAATAATAGATAGTTTCTTAAATCAGCATGTTATATATACCTTCTCAGGCAGTTCTGACTTCCGACTTTAGTTCTGATAGTTTAGTCTGGCTTGTGATCCTGCGCCAACAGTATCTATTCAATTATAGATTTATCCACCAACTGCCAATTAGTCGATGGAAAACTTGAAACTTTGAGCAATGTCCAAGTACTAACTAGAAGTACTGAAAAAATGTTTTTCTTGATGAATTTGCTTGTAAAGTTGGAAGTTGAGCAACTGCATGCCACCATTACTCCACTATCAGTAAACTGAACTAGAAGCTTGTAACTAATTTGCAGGTATCATTTGAAGGACGCAGTCCTTGATGGTGGCCTCCCGTTCCAAAGAGCATACGGGATGACGTTGTTCGAGTACAATAACACGAACATGCACGTTAACCGCATGTTCAACGAGGCCATGAAGAACCATTCAACCATCATCACCAAGAAGCTCCTTGAGTTCTACAGGGGCTTTGACAGTGTCGGCACCCTTGTTGATGTCGCAGGTGGTGTGGGTGCAACCATCCACACCATCACCTCCAAGTACCCGCACATCAAGGGGGTCAACTTTGACTTGCCGCACGTTATCTCTGATGCGCCGTCCTTCCCTGGTGTGGAGCATGTCGGGGGTGACATGTTCGAGAAGGTGCCCTCCGGCGATGCCATCCTCCTAAAGTGGATCCTTCATGACTGGACTGACAAGCATTGCACGAATCTACTAAGGAACTGCTTTGACGCACTCCCTGCTCACGGCAAGGTCATCGTCATGGAAGGCATCCTGCCGTTGAAACCAGACTCAACATCCAGGGGGCAGCTCATGTTCTTAGGTGACATGATCATGCTCATGCACACCCCAGGTGGCAAGGAGAGGCAACAGAGGGAGTTCGAGGAGCTTGCAAGGGGTGCAGGGTTCACCAGTGTCAAGACCACTCACATCTACGGCAATGCGTGGGTCATTGAATTCATGAAATAAATTTCAGTATTAGCTTCTAGTTGTTGCTCCTAAAATCCACAAATGACTTTCGAGTTTCCACCGTGTTTACTTAATTTTGAATCATTAACATATTTTACGTACATAATAAAGGATTTGGTACTTAAGTTGTGCGAGAAATTGCTATTTCTATGTTGAGTAAATTTGGCAATGTTAAGCCTAGGAACTTGTGTGCAGGCTTACGCCTATAGAGCACATCAAGCATGTTTATTTTGTTTTTTGTTGTTGAACTGTGTTATGTTGTGCTATGTTTAGTTTACCCAAATACTTAAAAGTGCAGTTGCACTTTTTGTCAAAGCCGAGGACACGCACTGCAGTCGTCAATCGCGTGATGCGGAAAAAATGCATCGTAATTTGGCCCCACCCGTTGGCAAAAGGGGATGCAAAGCAAGTACATTTAATGCAACACGTGCACATACTGTGTAAATCAAGGTCTCTTATATGCATTAAATTTCATTTTGTAAAACTTTGAAAAGCTATAACTTTTGAAGGGAACGTCGAAATTGTAATCCGTTTTCGTAGTTAGGTTTCTCGCGAGGAGTTCTTCAAAACAGATCCCGTGAGGGTAGGTTTCGACAAACTTTTAGTGCTACATGTGCAGACTTCCTATTTGTTCTCTTACCATAACCGTCAATTAGCCCGAGGCCCTCCTAAGTTGACTACTTTGACTGTCAAGTAATCGTACTATGACTCTCCAATTGGCTAACATTGTCCTCAGTTGCTTACTATGAACCAATAGTATTGTAATAATATCCTAATTTGTACTGCAATAGGTTTTTATGTAGTACGCAAATTAGAAATTATGATAGGCAATTTTCATAGTAGAGTAGGCAACTGAGCATCTGTGGTAAGTAAGTTCGTAGTGGTATAAATAGTACTCCCTCTGTTCCAAAATAAGTGACTCGACTTTGTACTAACTTTGAAGGAGTAGTACACTAGGCATAGTAGGCATCACAGGTAAGATGCAGATGTGTTGCTTGTAGTAGTTTATAAGTTGGTTTACCATGATTGATAAGTTACATACATTGGAAACTAAGTTGTAATAGTTTAGTTGCCTACCATACTATGAAAGTTTCCCAGTGTAGTGTGAAATTTGCATATCATAATTCCTAATTTGTCTACCTCGGAAAACTAATTTCTATCTCGCTAGATATGTTAGCAACTTAGAACTGAAGCTACTCAACTTTGTAGTTATGGTAACCCAACTTATAAGGACTCCCCGCTGATAGACAATCATACTAGGCAAACTAATAATAAGTTGTTTCTCTACAGCATTAAAGTTGCCTATGTGGCCGTCCAATTTGCTCATGAAAATTTTAGTCAAACATACTCATATGGAGTCTAGTTTTGAAGAGATCATCCCAAGGAACTTAGGAATGAACACGAAATTTGATTTCAATGCTCGGTTCAAAAGGTAAAACATAAAAAAAAATGAAAATGCAAATTAAATACATGCTTATTTATGCATTTCCAACTAAATTTCCCGCACGTAGTACATTGCCCCTATGTTAGACCACACCCTATTTGTACAAATCCCTAATAGATACTACCCTAAGTTTCCTGCCATGAGTGAATAGCCTAACATCAGTCAAAGTTGCATCCAATACTTTTCTGGTGTGGTAAGCAACTTACTTCATAGATAGACAACTTAGCAACACTGATGGGCAACTTTTAATGTATTATAGGAAAATGAAATTGTAAAGGGCAGGCAACTGAGCACCACCGATAGGCAAGTTCATAGTGTTTTGTAAGCAACTTAGAAAAATAATGATAAGAAACTTCATAATATTGTAGGTAAATAATATGCAAACTTAGCAAACTAAGTAGCAACAGTAGGCAACTAACTACCAATAGCAGGCAAATGGGCATCGATGGTAGGGCAATTTCATAATAACTGCAGCCACGACAGCCAAGTTGGGATAATATTAGCAAATTTTCTTGATACAAATAGTGCAATGAAGTTGTTTGTATGTAGCACTAAAGGTGCCACATGTTTTGTATGATTTTCTCATTTTTACACAATGGATCTCGCGAAGGTTGGCAGTGGTCGCAGTATGCGTGGTTTCCCTACGATTGAGAGCGTGAGCTAGTGGAGTGGAAAAAGGCATCAACAGGGCATCGTCCCGGGGTCCGAGTGGGCTGGATCTGGCCCTGGCGGGTAGCTGAAGTGGCGGCAAGAATGTGCTCGCGTACGGCGGCTCTGGTGGTGGAGGTAGGTGGCGGTGGGTGGCGCTCTTGCCTCAGCGAGTTCTGCAAGATGCGTGTGTTCCCATGCAGCGCGTGCGACATGGTTTGGTGTTGTCCTCCCAGACTTTCTGCAGCTATGTGAACTAGACTGCTCTGGCATTCTCTTGGTGGCGCCGGTTGAATTGGGAGCTGGTGGGGTGGGTTGCATAGATCTGGGTGAAAATCTGATAGAGATGTTGTCAATGTCGGCGGAGACTTGTTTTGTGGACGTTGATTCCCTCCTTGGGGGTGCCATCGAGGAGCCTGTTGCAACCCCGCAACTCATGTCTTGAGACTCCAGGTAAAAACCTTAGATAGGGTGTTCACTACTAGAAAAAAGCCTGCTAGTTGTGCATCTGTTTTGGCTACCAATGGTGCACTACTAGCATCACGCCATTAGAATATTTTACTAATGACGCTCCGCAGGTGCGCCATTAGTATCTGGTATATATACTAATGGCGCACCACGCAGTGCGCCATTAGTATATCCCATGATGCACCACTACTATCTAGCTTAGTAATTGTGCACCACATAGAAGTGTGCCATTATTAACAAAAAAAATTCAAAATTTTCCCTAATTTTTTTTCTTAATCTCGAGTCACTATGGCTTAATCTCGGGTCAATATGCTTAATCTCAAGTCAAATGGCACTCTGTGGTCAAACTTCCCAAAAGGTCACCCATCCTCACACTACTCCAGCCCGAACACGCTTAACTTCACAGTTCTATCCAATCCCAGCACCAGCTCACTTCACATGCACTTGTTGATATATATATCATATCAATCATATTAAACCTTATTAATGTCTAGGACTTTGTTCATGTTCATGAGTGTGATGAAATTTTGAAAAAATATTTCAAACTTCCCAGTCATATTACGTATCATATTTAAAAAAAATCCAATTTTTTTAACTAATTTTTTCTGTTACTAGTGGCGCACCTAGCAAATGGTGCGCCACTAGTAAGTTTGAATTTTTTTTCATTTTCCCCCTCTAGATCTTAAAAGCCTCATATATTTCGTTCTGTTAGGTTTTTGAATATGTTGAACGGGGTTCCCCGGTTCAATTCGTACGTAACTTTTCGAGTAGATTATTTTTCTTATAAAAAGCTTTTTAATCAGAGTTCGTATGCAAAAGTTATGCCCATTTTACTAAATTCCATAGAGATTTTGCAAATAAAGTCGAAATTCATATTTGTAAATTTTTCCAACAACTAGATCACATATCACATGGAAAACTTATTTTCTTTTATTTTTTTGACATTTACAGCGTTTTCTTTTATTTTTTTAAACTGAAAAGGCGGTCTGGAGGGGTGCATTTAGCACCAGGGTTACTAATGGCGCACCTGATGTGTGGTGCGCTATTAGTAGTTTTGAAAAAAAAATTGTTAGTAATGGCGTGCGCCATTACTAGTTAAAATTAGTAATGGCGCACTGTCCACTAGTGCGCCATTACTAACATTTTTTTTCAAAACTACTAATGGCGCACGTTGGGTGTGGTGCGTCATTATTATGTCAACTAGTAATGGCGCACTATCCCATGGTACGCCATTACTAACATTATTTTTTTCAAAACTATTAATGGCGCACCACACACCAGGTGCGCCATTAGTAATATATATTACTAATGGCGCACCTGTATCTGGTACGCCACTGCTATATAGCAGTGGCGCACCACATACACGGTGCGCCATTAATGTCCATATCATCTATAGCCCTTTTCCTAGTAGTGGTTGCCGTATCGGATGATGGTGTTGGTTTCCATTACTTTCTCCTTCGTGCCGTCATTTGTGGAGTTCTTGTGGAGGGCTATCACAATGCGGCTGGTTGAAGAGGGAGGTTGGTTTCGTGGGTGGCCGGTGGGGGCATGTGTTCTGTAGGTGGTGGTGGTGGAAGTGCTTCGCTGATTTAGGACAGGCTAAGTTTTGGTTCCCTCTCTAGATATGGTGGGCTTCCTCTCAGGGATGTTCATGGCGGCGGTAAGGTCTCGATGTTCGACGTCGTGATTCGAATATGTTATAGGTTCTCGTTGCTATGCATAGTGCCCAAGTTTGGTCATTCGGTGAGGGTGGTCGATGTGGCACCAAGAGGAGGTGCAGTGCTCATTAATTTCGGTGGAACATTGCCCTTCGGTGGCGTTAGTTTTCCGTTCTCGCGATGTCACCTTGGTGATGGGATGCCCTTTGACGACGTTGCGACTCTCCTAGGTCTTCAAGTTGAAGAGGAATCGTTGGGCGGGTCGTGGACTTTTTCCTCTCCATTGTCTCGACGTCTGGTATTCATTCGATTGATCCAACAAGACTCCTCCGTTCTCTTCTTGGTTTGTTCCAGTTTTGTTCGGTGCTAGGTTCAAGGCTTGTACCGCTAGGCAGAGTTCATTTTGGTTCTCTTTGTTTCCTTGTTCCTTCTTGTGGGTGTCAGGTGCTACATCTTGTAGTCGTTGTGGTGTATGTTGTTCTGGTTTATGAAAATGAAAATGGTTTAGGCCGGCTTTTGCCCGCCGTAGCAACTTCAATAGAAATACTAGAGGGTGGGGCTTCATTATTAAAGATGTGTGTGGTGTGCAATGGCTGCTCTTGCAGGTAATTTGAAGCGTGTCTCGTGTGAACTTCACTTGGAAGCTTTTGCAATACTTTATGCCATAAAGACAACCACTGAGCTAGGTTGTGACTAAGTGAAGATGGAGTGATGATAGAAACAGATTCTGTGCAACTGAATAACACAAGAATCTTTCAGCATTAGGGGCTATTTTCAAAGAT